TTAATATTTTGCTTGAAAACTGGAAAAACCCGCTTCATTTGGAACCTATTTCACTTTCCTCTACCCACCCCCCATACTCCCATTGGATTCCCTTACATTAAGCGATCGGCAATAGCTAGATTCGTTTTACAGATACATTTAGTATTCTTAGACTTTTAAAAGGTTTTACGACAATCTGAAAAGGGTCCAACGATTTAAAATTGTATTAGGAAGAATTTTGCTTTTATCAAACATGCAAAGGAATTGAGTTTTTGCCACAAACCTAAATTTTTGTAATTCCTATATCTTTGCAACCTAATGATGTAATCCTTTGATATTTCAAACTTAGGCTAAGTGATCTAACAGATTTCTTAGTTTGAATTATCTAAGGTTTACGACATCGGGTTCCAGAGTTTGCGACAAAAAAAACTCATTTTCTTTCTTAACCTAGAGGAACAACATATCGTTTAAAAAACCAAAAATTATTGTTTTAAAACGATCGTTTTATTTTCACCTAGGATAACAAATTTGCAGGTTTGATGAAAGCAAACTTTAACAGATTAAAGTTTTAAAATGTTGGAACCTTCTAATATTGTCGTAAAACTTTTAAAATGTCTAAAAACATTAAAATTTTCAGTAAAAAGAATCTGGCTATTGCCCATTCCCTCCCAACTTACATTTGTGTTAAACATATTTCAAATACTTACAATAAATCCATCCACAGGTATATTTGTATAGGAGAAAGCCAACCCTAGGAAAAATAAGTTTTATTAACACATATCTAATCATATTAACATATATCTAATCATATAAACACATATCTAATCATATTAACATATATCTAATCATATTTTGAAAATATTTCCTTTTTGAAGAAACCAGGTTGATTTTTACCTATGTTATCTGTTCTAGGTCCAGTCATTTCAAAAATGAAATTTTCATTTTCTATTCTCCATTTCAGTTCTATACTCAATCCTATTTTAAACATTTGTTTTTTAAAGTAAATTTAAGTTTTAGAAAATTTTTCTCGAAAAATAATAAGTCTTTTCTTAAACAGAAATACAAGAAACAACAGATTTCTGCCAAATTAAAGGTAAAAACATGACGTGACAGGCAATTTTAATGCTTTTAAACATAAAATGTATTATTAAAGAGAATTATAGAGTGCTCTAGATAGATAGATAAGTACAGGCTGTACCAGATATATAGAAAAGTACAGTGTTTCAGATAGATAGATAAGTACAGGCTGTACCAGATATATAGATAGATAAGTACAGGCTGTACCAGATATATAGAAAAGTACAGAGTGTTTCAGATAGATAGATAAGTACAGGCTGTACCAGATATATAGAAAAGTAAAGAGTGCTCTAGATAGATAGATAAGTACAGGCTGTACCAGATATATAGATAAGTACAGAGTGCTCTATATAGATAGATAAGTACAGGCTGTACCAGATAAATAGAAAAGTACAGGGTGTACTAAACAATCTATATAATAAAACAAGACATATTCTTAAATATGTTCCCTATAGCCAGCCAAAGGGCTAAACCGAATTGGCTGGATTTTTTTTATGGACACTCGTGGGAGACATACGCTAAAAGTAATTCGATTTTTTTTCTTCTTTTTTTCACGGGCAACGTTCGGCCCTTTTGCTTGTCAGAAATAAATCATTGAGAGTAAACTGAGAGAGATGTTTGTTTATAATTCATTTTTTAAGTAGATATTAGATCAAACAGTTTAAACCGGAAACCTGTAGAATAGGAAGACCAAATTAAAGCAATACAGAGGTGCATTTAATGCTGTTACAAATCAAATAGCTTAAAAATAGCAGTCTGTTTACATTGCACAATTCATAATATTTATTTGACTATTTACAATCAAAACTTGAGTCTAAAAGTCGACTTACTATTCCAGAGTTTTCTGGTTATCACTGTACAATATCCTATGTTCAGTATTTTATTAAATAATCCTATAGTATTAAATAATCCATCATCTACATTTTAATGAAAAATATCTAAAAACCAAGGATTAAGGATGATAATACCTATAAATTGCTTGAAATATCGAACAACAACACAAAAGTAATGATTGAAGGTTAATACACTCCTATATTTACTTTATTAAAGAGGTTGCTCCCTTAATTACAAACTACGCAAAATACCCTAATTTGTTTATAAAACTACTGTGTACTTTATCATTCTTACTTACTTCATGGTGAATTTCATAATAAACGTGCTATAAAGATAAAGAGAATATTTATGTCCAAAAACGTTAAAACACTGCGAACCAAAATAACAGTGTTATAATTAGTTATTATTTACCGCGATTTTATAATAAATAGTGTGGGTTTTTTCGACTAATGTGTTATAAATGTAAGGCGAGAGCAAATGCAATAAGATTTTGTACATATTACGCTAATTAAGCGAAAAACTTGACATACAAATTTAGTTACTTAGAATTATTTGATAGACTTTGTTAGTATTATCAATCAGATAAATATAAATATGTATTTTTTATAGTTTTTTTTAACGCAAGAAGCACGTTCTTTGAAGAATTAAAGTATTAATTAAAGAATTAAAATTGAATACAGTTTTAAGTGGAACCAGCCATATTTGAGCCGCGTCTCAAATTTAAGTCGAGGCTCAAATTCTTTAAATTTGTGTTTCAAAGATTTAAGAAATTGTCTCCTACGCTATGTTAACGGATTTCGATGCATAATCTATGTAGTTAGTTATATGTTTCGATTATTCCTACCAAAAGACACTGTCTGCCATTGAGCATAGATAGTCTGCAGCTGAAGAAACAGAACAAATTGTTTAAATGGAAATCCCATTTTGACCTCTGAGAAAATATAACTAATTACTAAATGGATAATTCTATATTCTAGTTTTAACACATTTTATCTGAAACATTGATCATGCAATTCATATCTCAAGGTTAAACTTTAACAAAAGTTTAATTTAAAGGAAATCTCGACGTGAGTGCTAAATATTATACTAGCTTGGGAACCCAGCGCTGCCTAGCTTACTAAAAGTTACTCCCGCCGTTTACCCGCACTGCCCTTGAACTTTTTTACCGGGAAACTAAATTTTTTTGCTATTAAAGTGGACCCACTCAGCTTAGAATCTCAAAAACAAGCTTAAAACATTCCCGTGTGTCTCCTAAGTTCCCCCCCCCCCAAAAAAAAATAAGGCAAATCGAGGTCCAGGAGTTCCTGAGTTATGATAGGACCAACAAACAAACAGACAAACATAGATTACCACTTTATATAAATAAATACTATGGTATTGATTTCTTCTTTCTAGAATTAAAAACATCTTGGAGATAGTTATTTAATGATCTCTGAGTACGAATTTAATTAATTTGAGTCGCGTCTCAAATTGTAGCCACGACTCAACATTTTTAAATGCGGTCTCTGATCTAAGACAGGCTCCGTCACAGGTTGCCAATTTTCAGTGATAACTCTAATGAGAGAAGAATGGGTCATGGCGTTGAATGATCAAAACCTGAATGAGGATTTACGGGTCTATAAGGCAAGGGACTACTCAAGGAGTATGAAATAGAAGGGAAATACAACTGACGCGGCCCGCCCTGCCATAGATTATGCATGCTTCGCAGACGGTACTCCATTTTATAAGAAATATTCAGAATAGGTTATTGTATACGCGATAATTGCACATCAGTTAAATATTTCTTATTCAAATGAAGTACCGTCAGCAAAGCATGTATAATCATATGGTAGGGCGGGCCGCGTCAGTTTATTCTCGCTTCTATTTCATACTCCTTGGCAATACTGTTTGTTTACATTCTTCAGTGACATGTAAGCATAACACATGAGCTACAATTGTATGCCTAACAAACAAACAAACGAAAACCTAATCATTGTTAGCATAACCTAGTTCTCGAGGAATACTCTTACGTCACAAAAAAAAAACTTTAGTTCTTTTATTTAACAATATCTCTGGATTAAGGTTTAACACATATATACCGTTAAACTCTTCTTTAAATGTTTAGGGTCAGTCAAAAATACTTTGAGAGTCCCTTTTTAGTATTTCTAAGAACATGGTGAATAATTGAAACACAGAAAACTGAATGTTAAACATATAAAGGTGTTGGAAAGCATTTTCTAGGAAAATTATATTTTAATACATATTTCCTAAAATGTTAAAACAATTCAATATATAATATATATATTTTTGAATATGACCTTTATAGTTTAATTCTCGTTAAATGCTAAAATCTCAAGGATTGTTCAGCTGTCATGATGAGGCCAAAAATCTCAAGGATTGTTCAGCTGTCATGATGAGGCCAAAAATCTCAAAGATTATTCAGCTGTCATGATGAGGCCTAAAATCTCAAGGATTATTCAGCTGTCATGGCGAGACCAAAAATCTCAAGGATTATTCAGCTGTCATGGCGAGGCCAAAAATCTCAAGGATTATTCAGCTGTCATGATAAGGCCAAAAATCTCTAGTATTATTTAGCTGTCATAATGAGGTCAAAAAAAAACTTTGTTGGTGAACACAAATATGCTTTTATAAAAACTTTAAACTATGTGAACATGAAATGTAACTTAAATGTTCAATAAAGTCTTTAACAGATAATATACAATGACAACGAATCGGAATAAACTGTTCTATAAAAATAAAAGAGAAGAGAAAAAATTCTACTTAATAGTTCGTTTATTATTTTCTGTTTTCAAATACATACATATACTAATGTATTGTAGAGACACTCCTGTCCTCAACTCTAAGATAAAACTCTTTTAATTTTCGACTCCTAGGCAAACAATTTAAGAAAATTCTCACATCTTCAAATGCATAAATTGATTTAAATTTTTTTATCAAAAAATATGAAAATACTTCGGAACATTTCAAAATTTTGCTAAAAAAAAAGATGTGCAAAGTTTTATTTTATTTTTTTTAATAATACGAAAAGTTGAAAATTATAAAAAAATGTTTTAATCGTAAATATTTTGTATATGATGTGCCGTGTTGCAGGGAGGATTTGAACTGGAATATAGCGGGGAGTTAGGCCAGACATACAATATACCTTATTATTAATTATCAGCAGAGCCCGCGATTTAAAAACTTCGGCTCGAGCCGTAATTCCTTAAACTCAATCTCATACTCAATCTTAGACTCAACTCTGACGACAGCTTGTGTCACGTAATTGACAGCTGCAAGATCTTTGGCTCGACTTAAGGAGTTAGGCCCAAAAAAAGCTTAGACCCAAAAAAAAGCTTCTTAAAAATCAGAAATTAAATGAAACGTTTATTTCAAGCTGAAAAAGCACTATTTAGGTAATCCACCTGAGCCTACGATTTTAAAACTTTGGCTCGAGCCGTAATTTCTTAAACCCGACTTTAAGACCCAACTATGACGACGACGTCGACAGCTTGTGTCACGTGATTGACAGCTGCAAGATCTTCGGCTCGTCTTAAGGAGTTAGGCCCAATAAAAATAAAACTGACCTTGGTTGGTTACTTTTAGTGAAGAATAAGGCTCAATGTTGGTTGTTGTTCTCATAGAACATTAAACCGGTTTTTAAAACGCAACTCAGTGGAAAATAAGATGCAGCTTAAATCCAAAAGCTCAGCTGTAAATCAGGCCCATGGCAACAGCTTAGACCCGAGCCGTATTTTCCGGATTTTTTTTAATCGCGGACTCTGGTAAATCATAAACCCTTTATAAACTGCAATATGCCTTAAATTTTGATAGGGACACTGGATAGGGACACTGGATAGGGACACTGGATAGGGACACTGGATAGAACGACAAAGGTATGTTTATAGCAAAAACAAAAACAAAAAAATTTAATGATATTTTTTTAAGGATTTTCAAAATTTTGTGGGGACAACTTTTTGAAATTCTGAGCATCCATAATCCTTCCCTGGGGTCATGTGAGTTCAAACAAAATTTGGGCAATATCGGTTCAGTCGGTTTGATGTTTATTGGATACAAATAGACAGACAAGCAAAATTAATAGATAGACGATTAGTTTCCGGGCAAAGCTAGGTTTTCAAACTAGTATTTTTTAAGAAAGTACTTACCTACTATTTTCTAATAATACTGATATCATAAATTATTTTCAACTATTTTCCTCATTCTTCAATTACGAGTTTTTAAATGTTTTTCATTTGGTTTTTTTGTTTCTTTTTTATTTTCCTTGATTTTTGTTTTAATCTGTTGTGATGTATAACCTTTACAATATTTTATGACGTCTTATCATTTCCTGAATTCGATTCATTTTACATTTTTCTTTTTGTGGAATTATTTTCTCGTAAGTTTGTCATTTAATTTGGTATTTGTAAAAGGTTATTGAACTGAAATATTCCTTTTTGCATCCCCCCCCCCCCCC